TCAAACTCATTTTGGTCCGGGGGCCGTATCCAACCTACTTTGATCCCAAAGGGGCCGGATCAGAAAACTCATGTCATATAAACCCCCAAAATAACAATAAGTTAAAATATTGGTGCAGAGAAACACAAATCTATTACAGAAATCTTTTTAAATAGATGAACTCTTTCTTTTACAAAATATTATAATATTATGAACAACCTGAAACTTTAAGAAAAATGCAGTTTCAGCATTTTAACATGAACTTGTTTACAAATAAGAATAAGTCAATTTTTGTTGTAAAATCCTGCACTCAACGTCCACTTTTCTCATTTTGGACATTTTGTTGATGAGGGTGTCACGGTCAGCAGTCAAAACGATCGTCCTTTAAGAGCGTTTGGAAAGAGACAAGTCTTCATTTGTGCTGCTCTGGTGGGAGGGGCCACGTACAGAGACGCTGGAGACGCTGCTGTGATAAACACCACAGAAAATTAACAAGATTTTAATAGAAAATATAATTAAACTATCTTAGTAGAAAATCAGCCAAGGGCCAGATTAAAGGTCTTGGAGGGCCGGATCTGGTCTCCAGGCCGTATGTTTGACACCTGTGATCTAAAGGCTTAAAACCAATCACAACCGACAAACAGCAGAATCTGATCTTGGTGCCACACAAAAGCATTCTTTATTGTTTTGTTATAAAATTGCATCTAAAAGGTTTTTAGAAAGAAGACATTTGTGCAGTCAAAAATGAATTAAAAAAAAAGTTTGTTCAAGATCACAAATTGTCTGCAGACTTGAGTTAGGCTGGAGATAAAAGGAAAACCCGCTTAGTGGGACTCCTTCCCACTGACTTGATGTAAATCCAAATTGATTTCAGTGGGAGACGTGTCAGCTTTCCATCTTCATAAAGTCTTGTTTTACACTGTCTGCTGTCACCTGAGGAGTAATTAGCCCGATGTGACCGCGAGCTGGTGCCAGTGTCATGTTGTGTTACGCAACAAAGCTACGCCTGGAATTACAGACCAGGATCAACAGAGACGAGAGGAGGAATTTTATCTGCTATACCTCTTCAGATGATTAACAAGATAGAATAAATGATTGTTTGCTTTCAGCCACACTTTTCCTGAACTTCTTGTGAATGGGAATTTTGCCAGAGAGAAGACAGAGAGGAATATAGACTCATAAAATGCTGTAATATGAAAATCACAATGGTAAATATTCACTGTTAGTTGGCTATAGGCTATAGAATCTATAACCTAATCTATAGCATTCAGAAACCCACTAGTTATGTCTACTATTTAGCTTTCAAGGGGACATAATGTGTAAAATAAACTGTTATGGGATTTTAACCATGTTACAACAGTCCCTAGCCTGATTCACCAGCTGGTTACACTCCGTGGACCTAGCAACATTAGGATTCATTTGCTCTACGGTAGGTGGGTATTTATTTTTTTTAAATTTAACCAGTTGCTGCTATTTGGTCATGAGGTATGTAATGCACTGAAATGTTCAGTGGTGTCCAAGTAATTGCTGGCACAACAGCAAACAAAGCACATAGTGAACATGTCTGTCAACGGTCCTTGTCCTTTCTGCGAGATGAACTTGAGAATTAAAGGTGCAATAAAAAATGCTAAGTTTGTATTTGACAGAGGAAGGCCAAAGGAAGATAGAGTATGCAGTCTGCTATCGCAACTCGGGCTCTTCGCTGATTGACCAGTGTGCAATCTACAACTTCCGTTCTTGCAAACCATCTAGTGTATTCTGATTCCTGGCCTAGTCGCTGGAGAAAAAGGAAGTTGAGCAGAGGCACTAGGTGGTGCCAGCCTGGCTAAACAGTCCCTTTATTACTCAACAAGCTGTATTACTCAAAGTTGTATTTTGATTGATTCATGTATGTTTAAGTAATATTGTCCTACATTTGAGGCATAAGTGCTCAGAAAAAAAAATGTTTTCACCTACCCCTGATCTCTGCCCATAGCTTTATACTTACTTGTGATCCAAAAATTCTGATTTCAGTCACACATTTAAGTTTGAAAACTGCCATGTTGCCATTTTTCAACATTACACACACAATGAAAACCAGCTGCTTGCCACTATGAAGAGCCCGCCTCTCATTCAGTTCTACAGTTTATTACTACAAGTCAATGGATTCATATTACTAAGGTTAAAGTTTAATACTAAATACCAGACCAATCTTCACAATACAATAATTATTACATGAGCATAGTGAGCCAGGATCTGAATTGAAAACAAACAAACAATAATAAGTAATATACGATAATATACAATAATATACCATACAATAATAGTAATTTGTTATTGTTTTAGGCAGAAAGCTACTTCACAGAAGTTCTTAGGCTCACTTCAACTTTTACAGAAAATTAATGGCTGTCTTTGCATGGATCTCAGCCTCATTTTGCAGAGGAGTGTATTTCTAGAGGAAAAAAACAAATATCACTATTAATATGTGTGCGCACTATATCACATTTGATCAAATAATATGTAACAACAATAATTTAAGACTATGAAACTAGCTGACAAGAAAGTAATATAGCTAGTATTACTGTAATTTTAAGAAAAAGTAAAAAAAAAAAAGTCAACTGAACCCAAAAGTCAAACATCATCAACATTACATTACAGTGGGTATTGTAATAAAATAAAATATAGCCTGCTTATAGACTGTGCACTTATACATCCTAGGTTTCGATGGATATGATGTTTTATCTAAATGGACTTAGTCACAGAGGACTATAGGCCTACAGCAGCCTTCGGATACTCAAATGACGCATAATATTTACTGCTGTGGGCCATCCTGAGCTGTAAATAAAAGCCTGAAGAAGAGGGATCCTATTTATAAGAAAATAAACACATGGTAGTATCCTCCAGTGGCCAGGCCCCAGTCTGTGCACTGCTGAAACAGGATGAAAATAGTATCTTGAGGCAATGTATTCTGTGACTAATAGCATTTATATTATTAATTTATATCAGCTTTAAACATCAGCCCTCAAGCAATAATTATTAAACACCGTGCATTATTTACAGTATAATAGCCCATTGGAAGTTTGCTGAAGTGTCAAGAGAAGAAAGAATAGAAAACTAGATAAGCTGTAACTATAGTCTACAGCCTATAATGTCAGTAGGCCTATAAGTTTTATTATATAGGCACACAAAACAAGAGAGGATGTCCGTCCAGGCATATAACATTTGCAAGATAACAAGATCGTTGCAGAGTCAAATAAAGTGTAGCCTGTTTTGCCAGACACTAGAAAAAACATCACCTGCTGCCATATTGATTCTAGTTTTTAAACATGCATTAGCTGTCCAAATTATAAGTAGATCAAAATCTGGTTTTAATTCACTGATTAATAAGTGTCTCTTTGGGTTATAAGTCAGTGAAAAGCTATGGAAAAGGCATTTCATAAATCCAGTAGCCTAAGGCACAGATGACAACTGCCTCATATCTATGTTAACTGCCCCGTGTGAAGTTACTTGGCAAAAAGATACACTTTCACTAGAATCATTTAGATAATTTCAGCCCTGGAATTTCCAATCTCTACTGAACAAATGGTAAAGGATTCATCAGCCGGTTTCACTTCACATGGAAACCATCTGACCTCGCAGGATTTGTTCGCTCGATGGTAGGCGCGTACTTTTTTATTTAACCAATCGCTGCTATTTGGTTGTGACGTATGTAATGCGCCAAATCCTGTAGGAAGAAGGGCAATAACGTCGTTCCCCTTGATAAAATTCACCAAAAATTCTATTTGTTCTGGCTTTAAATCCTCGATCTTGAGAATTGTTGCCAGCACATAATGTATGGCTTTGTCTACATCCATCTAGACCGCTTTGTTTACTGTTGAGCTTTACCACAAAAGGGACCAAGACAAGTGCTTCACAGCTCTTCGCTGACTGGTTGGTGTGAAGTCTACAACTTCTGAGGTTCTTGCAAATCATCTAGTGATTCCTGAACTAGGCGCTGAAGGGAAATGAAATTAAGCGAAGGCACTAGGTGGCGCCATCCTGACCAGTAAAGGGTAGCTGTTAACTTGAAAACTACAGCTTCGTAACAAAGTGGCACAGAGCATTTTTGAGCTTTGGAGGTGTATAGAGAGTAATAATAAAGGATTAAACATGTATGAATGAAACAAAAATAAATAAATAAAGCAAACAAAACAAAATAAAATAAAGCAAGCACAAGGGTCAGTTTTGTGTAATTTAAGACCTGGGAAATTTCAATTGTATGGCATACCGTCTATAAACTAAGCTGTTTTTATTTATACAAAATCATTAGGCTATTGTGGTTTAGAATTTGAAGCCACACGAAAAAATGCTGTAGGAATTTCAATACGTTCTTAAAATAGGAGCAGTAAATCAATCCCGACAATAACAGGAGGTCTAACTTTCATTTCATCACATTTCCCCGCTAAATCCCAACCGTGACATTCTTGACATTGACACCTGGTGATCGCTATTATTATTAAAACCCTCTGTTCTGGCGCTGGTGAATGGCCGCCTTCTTCCGCGCCGAGAGCTGAGAGGTGGAGGAGGAGGAGGTGTATGGTAATTCTATGCTAATGGCGGGCTTCAGCACCTCGGAGAGCTCGCACGCCTGGCTCCTCCCCCCGTGTCTCCCGCTGCCTCCGCCGCTCTCACTGCCTCCTCACTTTACCGCGGGATACGAGCGAGGAGGCACCGTCACATCCAGAGCGCCAGACACACAACCACAACCACGACGCACGACGCGCGGACCTGCTTCTTCAACCCCGAGGCTGTGATGCGCAACGCGGGACGACCGGCTCCACCACAGCGCCCTTCGGATGATAATACAACCACCCGAGTTCGTGTCTGTTAATTTTTACGAGCGATAAGAACTAAGACATGCCGCTGTGACGCGCGCTCGGATGACAACAGCTTCCGTCTTTGAGATTCCCGCTTCTCGTGCCAGGTTTACTAAGTTGGCGCCGCGCAAGTTTTCTCCCCGTCTGCTTTGAATTATTGACTTGCATTACATTTACCTCGTTGACTTGGGGCGAAGGGAAAGGCACAGGAACAGAATGGGGAGCGAGAACATCTTACCGGAGCTTATGGCGGAGAAGGACACGCTGGACCCGACTTTTCAGCACTCCTTGCGGCTGTTGGACCAAGGTAAGCCTCCGTGTAAACCGCGTGGAAATTGAAGTGATGCTGTTAGCTTTAAAGTGGCGCTTGAGGCTAGGGTTTTGGTGAGGCTACTCGACATCGAAACGCCTACTTATGGTTAAAAATACAACGTGTGTGTGTCTGCTTACTATTTTCACTGGGGTCTTTTAGAAACAAAAAAGTCCAACTTAGGGTGACCAGATTTTCAAAATAAAAACTGAGACATCCCTGGTTTGTGGTGGTTTGTAATGATAAAACTGTGAAACGAGTGCGTAATTGAGCAAAATTGTTACGCACTTGGCACTAATGTGAGTCACATTTTCTTTGTGGTTTTGTCATTTTTAAGCAGCTTTTCTGTATTTTCTATTTGCAGGGATCAGATTGGTCAAAAATAGGGACACCTGGGACACAGAGCTCAAAACTGGGACTGTCCCAGGTAAACAGGGACGTCTGGTCACCCTAATCTAACTGCTTTTTATTAAGTTTGAATGGCTAAGGTGCCTTTAGCTGCCATGTTTACCTTGTTAACTTAAGCCTGAGCAATACCAGGGGTCTTTATCCAACACGAGGCTTCTTAAAGGTGCACCACGTAACTTTTCTGTAACACTGTGCACATTTAAACTTATTACCAAAGACCAAAGAAGAAAATTAATAACAAAAATGTGAATTAATGAAATATTTAAAATAGCTCTAGCGTTCTGCGAGTTAAATCCCTGATAAATGCTATTGCCAAGTTTTGTGAGGGGAGCATTAGCGAGACCGTAGCACTCAGTCGACTTGACATTCAGTTAGCAGGCTGGACTTGTCTTCATCCCCATGCAGACATGTGTAAGCCGCTGCGCGAGAGCCGGAATAATCACCCTCTTATTCAAATGTACATGTGTTTCCCCTCTTTGAAGCTACTAGACGTGAGCGAAATGGAATTCTTAAACGGATGGAACCACAGTTTAATTAATCCTCCGCTGCTTTGAAGATGCTGGAAATCTTTTTGGCTCTGCACTTGTCACCCCCCACTTTTGGACTGTCAGGACATCTAAGTATTATTCAAGAGGCGCTGGTTCAGAGTGGAGCAATATGTTTCTTTTAAAAGGTAACAGACAAGCAGATTTGGTCCATTGCGTGCTCCGCTGTGGCTGCACTGGAACTAATGCTGTGAGCCCCCAGACACTGCTGCTGCGCGGGCTGCTTTATCCTATCTGACAGGCCGGTCCTGCTCACAGCTTGTGCCCAAACATGAGTCCTCAAGGGTTCCCTAAAAACATTCCCCCGGCAAAGTCAGGCATAATTTCTATTTAATGATGCTTTCTCATAGTATTACTTCAGCGTATATTGTCGCCCCGTGCATTCTCAATCAGACACTTCAGATCATTATAACATCCTCAGCCTCTCATGTATCATCGCTTGTACAGTTTTGTGTAATTCAATGTGGCTTTTACTCTTGGGCTTAACTGTAGCACTCTATTATAGTTTACTCGACTAGAATACTTGTTGTGAATAGTATGAAAATATCTGTCAGACCGTATAAGTTAGAGCTCAGTCTGGTAAGTGCACTCTGAGTCAGAGCTGGTTTATTGGCCCGAGGATAATTGTGGTAATAGTCTTAGAGCTGCAAGATTAATCGCAATCCAATCAAAAGTGGAGGTGAATGCTCGCAATTAGCTATTCATACAGAGACCCTTATTTAATATAGTGTTCTCTGCAAACAACAATATATGCCATCTCCATGGAGCTTTTTTATGCATAAAACCTGTTCTAAAATGCATATGATTCTTATTACTTTAGCCTTTCGTATTTAAAGTAGCGTCAAATGGTAATGCTGTAATGCTGGGCGTGTTTAAACTGTGCACTAAGATCTGAATCTAAAATCTATATATTTAGCATTAAAGTCTCACAGCTAATATTAGTCTATATGCCAACCCTATCCTAGACAAGACAGATTATTTTATTAGAATATTACTATATCAAATACTGAGAAATTACTGTAAGTTTAGAGTACATAATTAGGGGTGTAACAATAACCAAAATATTGGGATTGTCAAAAGTCTCGTGGGCCATCACAATATATATCGAATCACAAGTTTCTTTGTGTAAATTCATAGTTATGGTGCAGCAATTGCTTAAATAAACAGATGGGACTACATCGACCATGATCCTTTGCTCCGTTTTGGTGCAAACTACATGAAGAAATAACAGTTCTAAGCACTTTCAAATCTTAGTTCTTTGAATTAAGTCTTGTCAATGCATTTTAAGAGGAAAAAGCAGCATATTCATAATTTGGTTAGCCTTCACAAAATATCTCAATAAATACCGTAACATGAGATGTATATTGTAAAAATATTTAGATTTTAGATTTGGATATTGTTACATCCCTAATATATAATATGAAGGAAATATAGATGATTTATGATAATATTGAAATTTATTTCACTGACACAATAACCCAAAAGCAGAAAAAAGAGCAAAAAAAAATATATATATATTCTAAATCTACAATATGGTTAACAAACACAAGCAGAAATGTGATTTGTGTCCAGAATATCCTCTATGAAAGCGTCCCTTTTCTGTTTCGAGCTGGTTGGAGCTCCAATATACTGTATTGGGAGCAGAATACTATAGACACTGCCAGAGATGCTGGAGTGGTACCCTGCAAAATCCACTGGATAAACAAAGCTAGAATAAAACTTCACTCCAGGCTGTTTTCTTTGAAACTTAACAACAGTGTGTGAGAGCCCTTTGTCATAAGGAAAAAAAAAAATCCAATTCCTGCCCCAAGTAAGTTTAGAGTACATTTGTGCACTAGTCTTTGTTGAAGATGAAAAGGTTTACATTTGCCACTGACATGCTCAAAAATATATGATTTTCAAAGTTGTATCTATTTCTTGTAGAACTTGTATACACACAACATCCACTGATTTCTGTAGGTTGTTTCTTGTTGCCAGGTCTTAGGCCGCTGATATCGATATTATTATCACTTGGCTGACTGACATGCCTCGCCGCGTTTGGCCTCTGAGTGTTGTTGGCGTTGTTCCTCTCACTCTATGTGGCGCATATGGATGAAGTGTTGCCTCCTTCAGTACTTTGATATTGTCGACCAGTCTGGACTTGTGTTGCTCATTTATGCAGCTTTCTTTCCAAGATAATTACCCACTCACTCCGAACCTCTCATTATGTTGGGTTGAAGTATATCATAGGTAACATTTTTCATTGGGGCTTTTGTGTCTGAAGCTCAAAGTCGAACAGCTGCTAAAATGCAAATTAGGACCAGTTGGAAAGTGAAAAGTAAGAATTGTGTTTTGAGTGAGGATATCAGACAGAGAAGGAGGGCTTTCAACTGTAAACCAGACTACTGCTTAAGAGAAGAAAAGCAAGACTGTACATTGCTCAAAATAAGGACACTGGACAACTTTTCTTTGATATGATCAAACTAAAAGAACTCAAACTATATCCCTGTCATAGTTTCTACCTGGACTTAGTAGCTTACATTAGCAAATGAGTGGTTAACCAAATATGTTTTTAATGAACTTTACTCTATTATTGACTATACTACCCTTTCCCCTCATTTATTTTATTTTGGGAATAAACATTAGCCTGATTCATCAGCTGGTTTCACTTCATGGAAACCATCTGACCTCGCATTAGGATTTGTTCACTCGACGGTAGGTGGGTACTGTTTTATTTAACCAATCACTGCTATTTGGCGTGAGGTATGTAATGCACCTCTAATGGGGCCAAATGGTATATTAAACTTTTCCCAAATTCCATAGGAAGTGTCTGGACTGCTTCAAAGTATTTAATGACAAATCCAAAAAATTCAAAACTCAAAACTAAAGAGCCATGACACAAGACAAGATGGGACTGTGACAGAGACAATGGACCAACAAAAGGCAGAGGAGAACACAGGGTATAAATGCACACAGACACAGGTGAAACACATTAGGGCGGGGCAAACAATCATGACAGGAAGTAAAACTCAACTACAAGCAGACACAACAAATGTCAAAATAAAACACCAAAATGAGCAAATACACTACAAACATGAACCATGACAGGAAGAAGGGCAATAATGTCTTTCCCCTTGATAAAATTCACCAAACATTCTCTTTGTTCCGGCTTTAAATCCTCGATCTCGGGAGTCCTTGCCAACGCAGAATGTATGGCTCTTTGCTGAATGGCTGGTGCCCGGACTCGCACTTCCATGGTTCTTGCAAACCGTCTAGTGCAGTGATTCTTATCTATAGGGCCGGGGCCCAAAGTAGGGCTGGGACCACCTCCTTGGGGGCCCCACAAGCAGTGCAATATAATGCATTTAAAAGGAGATAGGGCCCCAGGTTACTTTGTTCAGAAAAAGTCAGGCCCCAAGATTGAAAAGGTTTTAAACCCCTGGTCTAGTGTATTCTGATTCCTGACCTAGTCACTGGAGAGCAATGAAATTAAGTGGAGGCACTAGGTGACGCCACCCTGGCTAAATAAACATACTAACGTTTTGCAAAATACAGTAATGATAGTATCATGTCTGCAAACTTTACAACTTAAAATGTGGTAATGTTCCCAGAAACATTTCACATATGTTGAGTCTATTACTTTCTCATGAATTGGTATTCAAATTCAAAATCCAACATTCACACTCAGGCATTTTCATCTTAGCTCATATAGGATTCCTGGATTCTACATCAAACCAGCAAAAGAGGCTACATGCATAAAACATACAATATACTGGTGCCATGAAATGGTAATTTGCAAAAAATAAGTTTTCCAAGACATTTTGAAAGTTTTTTAGCTCAAACTTGTCATAGGTGTCCCGTGTTTGAAGTTCTACAAACAGTAATTGGCCAGAGTTAGCGGTAGTCCAATGTCTGTTTCTCCAATGAGGTGAATCCATTCTCATTTGTACCTAGATAAGGCTATGTTTCACTCAGCACTTTGTTATCTTGTGCGCTGCTCAAATCTAGGTTAGACTCTTTTAAGAACAAGCCCACCGTTGGAGGAGCTCTGAATACTTAATGCGT